TTACACGGCGGACCTGCCGTCCAACCGACGTATGTCGACCTTGAGAGAGGGATGCTGCAATGACGTCATCGCCCCTACTTTTGTCTGCTAAGCGGGCGTGCACGACGCCTGTTCGGCAAGGTCGCCGACAATCGGCTATGCAATTACGGGCTGGCCTCCACCCGGCACACGTCACCCTCGGCGCGGCCGTCGGCCCGTATCGTGACCCATCAGGCGGCTGCGGGTACAGCATGTTGCAAGGCAATAAACGCCCCACGGTGACTGAAAATGACGTGGTGCAATTTGCCTCCAGGGCATTCCCAGCTTCATTGACTGATTCGCCAAGCTATGATCCCTGCAAGCGCGTGGCAGTCACTGGGTGCAGGCCCTTTGATGAGCGGCATCGTCACTGACGAGCGAATCGCATGGTGAGTGCACGACCGTGGTGCTGCCTCGCAGTAGACGGGGCTGGTCCGTGCAAGGAGCACATATAGGCCGCACTGCCGCGTGTGCTCCCGCGGGAAACGCCAAGCGTTTGGATGTTTCCGTCAGTGTAGCAAGAGTTGCCTATCGTTGACTGCTCAGGCACATCGATCAGCGTTCAGGCCGCCGTGTTCCTCGCCGATAACTTCCCTACTCTGTCGTCTCCCCGGGTGCCTGTATTCCTCGTGCGGCCGCCACCCGGACACCAGCGCCCTCTGCTCACCGTGCCGTTGTCTCCCCTGCTTTACTGCGCTTTTTATCTGAACGTCTTCCCTGCCCTGCTGCCTTAGCCATGCGTGAGGAACTTTTTAATGTTTTGGATGCCGAGACCTAGCATCGACGCTGGCAACTTCGCACAGACGTCCCTCCTCGCAGCAGGTCTGTTGTGCTGTTCCCGCGGAGCTAACGGCGGCATGCTTCAAAACAATCTATTACGCGTCGGATGAGTGGATAGGCTTCAAGACCGCCGACAGACAGCCCACCACTCCATTTGCTTACAGCGCTGCATGCGGCAGCCGACACCGCCCCAAACCATACGTGCTTCGCGGATCCCAGAAATGGACACCGGAATCTGAACCTTGAGGGCCGGATCCCGGATGTTCCAAGATCCCATATTCTCCCTGCAGTGTTACTAAGCGACTTTCCGGAATCCAAAATCTGTCCGACTTTGTTTGAAAAAGGTTTTTTGGGATCCAAAGCCCATTTCTGGGACCCAATCCCCTGTCTGCCACAAGCCCCGTCGCCCGGCGGGAGGGAGCGGCGCCGCGGGCTGCCCCGGGCTTGGGGCGAGCCGGCGAGCCCTCGCTCGGCCCGACCATGGGAACCGGTTTGTCGCCACTCCCGGTGCGGGACGGCGGCCGCGTCACGGCGGATTAGCAGTGCCGCCGGCGGGTCCCGAGGTGATCTCGCGGCACCGGCGGTCGCGCTCGGGGCCGGCTGGACGGGGCGCGCGACGCGCGCGTGCGACCGCGAGGGATGCCGACCTTGAGGAAACCGTGCGGCGAGTGGGTGAGGTTGAATGCGTGGTATGGTAGGGTATAGAACGGGAGAAAAAGTGGAGATGTGCGGCGCGAGAAAACAGCCCACAAAAACAGCAGAGCTTGTTGCGCAAATGCGAACGCGGTGCACCGCTTTTAGGAGGTGCGCGAAGCATGGTAGCGACGTTGGTGGATCGCGTGAGCTCGCACCATCGGTGGAAATGTTTTTGCAGTTCATGGACATCGTCATAACGACCTCGCACGGAGTGACGTGGTACCAACGCATGAATATGTCAGACCTCGGCATGGTTAGGGGATATTCCCTCTCGCGTTGCTGGCGGGAGGGGGTCGAATGTTAGTAGAGCAGGAGTAAGGATCGTTTGCGTCTTCAAAAGGAGCATATTCCACATCTATATGGGGTTTTGAATTGAAAGGGCCATCTTTAAGATCATTCGGTGCACTTCACAGCCCTGCCCTTCTTAAGACATAAACTGTTCTTGTTTCTCAGGTGTACACTCGCGAAGATGTGCAGCCTTTTTCGCGGAGATAATTGCATTATCACCCATGCGCACATGACGCCATGATAACGCCATTTAAATCCCATCACTCCATTGGCCATGCGGTGACCAAGGTCAGTAGAGACATAATTGCCGAGTCATTTATGTTTGGTGTTCATAAGCGCGATTTCCAGATATACCGTCCGTCAACCGATTTCACTCACTGTCGTACGAGGTACAATTACGTATTAAGAAGCAAACCTAGTAAGCACGGAACCAGTTGTCTAGAGCATCCTGTCTAGAGCTGCAACTGTCTAGAGCATCCTGTTCCACTTAAAAGTAGACCAATAGCTTTAAGTAAGCTTATCTCACCATGCCTGATGGCTGCTTCAATATCTTCAAATGTGGAACATTTCATTTAATTTCGTTGGAGCACCGACACAAGAACCAATTGTACTCATGTGCTTAACAAATCGGCAAGTGCCCGATTTGAGCAAGTTCGACTGCGTTTTTGCAATGACTTATTTGGCCGACGACTGATTTGGCCAAATTTAGCCAAATACTGATTTCGGGCAAAATTTGGCCGATTGGTGCAATCAGTCAATGGCTTAAAGTCAGCTCAACCATGCTTGCCAACACAAAGCGTCAAAAATATTTTCTGCAGCACAGAGCGACACTTTGTCAACCAAACAGGTAAAAGCCGTGCTGTGAATCAGTTCAGTTACAAACAATAGCCAAATCTTATTTTAAAGACCATGAGCTATTGATATCGTTTGATCTGAAATGTCATCGACCTGCCTACAGTGAATTGGGCGCCTGTAAACGAGCATTCTGCATCGGTTTTGTGGAGAAATGAGATACCATGTATTACCACTTAATACCAAACAAGCGAGTTCATCTCAGAAGTAGTTCTACAACCAATCAGAGATGACCGCTTAGCTCAGTGTCCCCGCATCAACCAGGGACAGTTCGCGTTTTCAAAACTCTCGTGATAAGTCTCGGCATGCCCGTGGACGACCCACAGCGGAAACACCAGACGAAACACACACACGACCCTTACAGACGAAAACGAACAACGGCAAATGAAATCACAAAAAACTTCCCGTGAATCGGAGCAAAATCATCAAGCTGTTGAGCTTTTTATCATTTGTTAATCATTGAGCACGAAAATGTTCCGTAATCTCTATTTTTCCGTGGTGTCCGAAATGCATCGTGGAAAGAATCACCTTTGCCTGATGAATACACATTTTTTTCGTATTTGCTATGATTGGGCCGTATATTCTGCTGCCACCGTTTTCATCTCTGCAGCCCTTTCGCCTCAGGTGAAATAACTGCAAACTAGTTTTGCAAGAACGTCAATCATTTGCACTGCACCAGTGACATTTTTTTCCGGATAAAGTTTTGGGTTCGATGCAACGAAATATCTGAGAGCGAGGGGTTTCGGCGAAGGGTTCGAAAGCAAAAAATCATGACCTGTTTGGTTCTGCGCCACGATGTAGTGAGCAGACGTCTGCACCAGGCGTACTGCGCATGCGTCTCTTTCAGCCCGTTCCGTCAATCATGGCTTGTGGTTTCTGAAACAACTTGGTACAGGAGACTGAAATTTAGTAGGCTTTTCTAACCACACCATTTATACTTGCCTTCGATCATCCACGGTCACCGTTTATAGTGAAATCGATGTCGGTATCAGGATTTGTAACGAGTGCGTCAACGCTGTTTGGAGGGAAATCTCGCTATACCCGCCCATACCATATTTGGGTGAGGGACGCATTGCCATTGCGTAACAGGGGTCCTTAAGCCACATACTAATCGCCGATTTACGTGGCTCGGTGTGCTTCGAGCAGCACGCGGCGCTGCACGGACGCCTTGTGGTGACCTCGGTGTCCATGTATCAGGATAAGCCGCGACTGCTTACTCGAGCCCCACACAAGGCAGCGCAATCCATGCAAATGCAACGTGACTATCAAACATGTGGACAGCGTTAGTGAGAAGGTGATCCAACACGATGAAACGAACCGCAGAGGACTGCTGTGAAGCAAGTAACAGTTGTCAACCTTCAGACACTCATCGACTTAGATATCACTAACCGTCTAGCGACATGTTTACATGTCATTGGATGCATGACCCAATGACAAGTAGGACCATGTGATGTATGATGCATGGCCGTTTATTGCACCCTTGCTGCTACTCTATTCTTTATGTCTGTTTTGTTCTTCCTTCATGTTGTGCGCTTTACTCAAGAAAATCTGTTTCGACACATTATGCATACACGTTCCACCTCCACTCTTTCATCCAGGGGCTCTGGTTCATCGATCGCAGGGCAGCATTACCACTGGTCTTTGTGGACCGCGCTGCTAATGGGGTTGGTCTGCACCACAGATGAGACGAAGCATGGTTTTTGTTATACCTGCAGCCTAGTGATGTGAAAACCTGCAGCCTCTCGTTCATGGCACGCTTGCATTTCGGCACCTGCAACTTCCTGAGGTACCAGTGGGCAACGGTGCAAAGAAAAGAAAAGAACTCTGTAAGGAACTCCTCGGTCTAACCAAGGGGCATTTGCGCTTCTCTGGATATGTCTTCTTTTTGTCGCCGAACTGTAAGCCTGTGTTTCCTTCACCGAAGCCCGATGGCGTACGCGTGTCATTTGTCACATTCGTTGCATGCTTGGTCTGACTGCAGATCAGTTCTAGTTCCAGCCTGCCAAAAAATCCTGAATGTTTATTTGGTAGCAGACTTTTGCATATCTCTAGGATTGCAGGAAATGCAACGAGAGGTGACGATGCAGCGGACCTCACAATCAAAGCTTTGCCCGTTGGGAGTAATGTGAGGCGGTCCTCACCTAAAAACATCCGTGCAGCATTAACTCGCACCAGGTAATCTCCAGCTGTACCCATGCGGGAACAACTCACACCTCATCGTCCCAACCTACGGCAGTGCGGAGCACTCCCAACTGCAACTGTTCCGCTGCGTCAACGGGAGGAGCACCTCCCCCTGCCGGCCGGTGCCGCGTCACTGACCCCGTGTCACCCCCACTCTCCTCGCGTGCCGCGGCCCGATGACCCACCTGGCAGTCGGCCTCCACGTCGGCGTACACGCCCGGGTACTCGTAGTCGTCGCAGTTGAACGACGTCTGCGGCCGCGACAGCAGGTTCGGGTAGTCTATTCCTGGCGGCGCGAGGCGCATGGCGTCACGGCGGCTGGAGCCGGAGCCGGAGCCGGAGCCGGCGGCCCGGCTGCCGCGGCTGAGCCTGTCACTCGTGCCAGGGGTCCCAGCTCAGCTCAACATGCCAGGCGTGAGCCTCCATCAGCGGACCTGCGTCACCGGCCCGGCGTAACGGCCGTCCTGTCCAGTGATTTGAGGCTCGGGAACGGTGGACGCAGGGACCCGACAGCTTTGCGATGTCTTAAGAAGATGGAGGATATATCCAGTGGCTTCAATCGTCAACGGCAACAGAGCGATGACATCACCCATGTTCGCAAAGACGCCTCACCGGACAGGTGCATCGTTCCACTCCCGTTCGATTTACTCGACCTAACTGTGTAGTTAATAATTGACAGTGAGCTGCATAAGGCCGGAACCGACATCAAGAATCTGCCTCACACCGTCAGTAATGGACCTAAACCCAAGCGCCCACACCCCTACCGGCTTACTGGCTTCGCCGATGATGCAGTCTCCGTCCGGGTCGTCGAGAGTGACCTTGCATTTTTGCGGTGTCAGGATGAGCCCCTCTTGGGCGCGGGCCGTCAGCCAGCAGGTCACCAGCAGCAGCGTCACGGGCAGCTTCATCGCTGCGGTACCGACAAGAGGGGATGTGTTGCATCAGCTCCACCACAGGGGAGACGCAGCGGGCAATTTCTTTCATCTTTTGGGGAATTTAAAATCAAGCTTGACAGTGCGCTATGCTGGATCGTCAGAATTGTTCGAGAACCTGTATCACTTGTTTGTGTCCTCGGGTTATCGAATTGCTCTAGAGATATGTGGTAGATTTCTTGAAAAAGGTTAGGTGGCAAATGCGAAGGATAATCAGCTCATTTCTGGTGACGGTAGTGTTGCTCTTGGCCAATGGTACTGCAGTAGCCAAATATATAACCTCACAACTCCGGGCACTATGCAACGGATGCTAGCGGGCAGAATAGTCCTGCTAGCAATTCCATTATCGGAAACGTTTGGGGGCCTAATGGGATGTGGATTCCGCGAGAACATGGTTTTGGCTGTGTTTAATAGCAATACCGAAAAGGTAAACAACAGTAGTCATTGGCGACCGATAATCCGGACAAACTTGATGGATTGTCACGTTAGGCCACTGGTTAAGACGCATGGTTGCTTCTTGTTCACAAGCAAATATCAAGCCCATAGCGTTGCATGCAAAGACGAATTTAAATAAGAGGACTTTTAATTCGGGGGAGGGCCATCAGCACGTTGCAACGGTGTCAACTGTAAATTTACTCCCTGGCATCCGAGGGCCCTTCTTTTGTAGCAAAACCAAGGACGAATAGCTGTGTAAAAGCTGTGTTAAAAAGCCGCTATGTTTCAAGGCTATAGTTTACAAAGAACATTTTCCAACCAGAAAAGTTTCTTGTGCAAGGATGGGTGCCTGCAAGTTGTGATAATTTCCTTGCACGGCCCATACATGTAATAATCTCCTTACCAACATCGGAAAACGTTGTCATTCCGAGAGCTCTTAAAAATCAATAGAAAAAAGCAAATATCAAATATTCTCTGAAAACCTGCAAATTCAAACAAAATTCCTGCAAAATGGTTAAGCACGTAGCGTGAACCACCGGACTCTGGGTAGGGGCAAGCCCTTCCATGACCGCATTCCCCTGGCTTTGTTCCTGTTTATGAGGCACCTACACAGCGTTGAGATAAGTTGATGGTAAATGCCACTCTCTCATTTCCTTCTTATGATATCTAGTTCAAGGTAACATGTCGTCACCTTAAAAAGAAAACGTAAACTAGAGTCAAACACTGCAGACCATTTATCCAATTTACATTAAAGGAAACAGCATAATGTGGTAATAGAATACAAGGCATGCCTTTTCGTGCGTTGCTGACCGCTTCTTCTCATCAGTTTATGGAGAATAAAGTCCTTTGGAACGTGAACTTAGGCGGCATGTGTATGAAAAATATTTGCTCATCTTCAATAACGAGCAAATCCTATAAGTCACGCCCTGTTCATTCATGTTCTAAACACCTATCCAAGTCCGGCACATTACGAAAGCTTTTTTTCAGCGCCTGGGCGAGAACACGGCCATCTGGAGGTGGCCAGTGGGCACGCATTTGAATTTCCAGCCCAGCCGATTACCGCATGGTAATTATGGCTCGACGCAAGGACACATAACTATCCCGCAATTACGAGACAAGCGGTTAATACTTTGAATGTGTAGTAACCGCGAAGCACAGCATACACCGCGACGTTACAGGCCTTGTAAGACATCGAACATAATATACAGATTTCACGACTGAACGAATTTGTATGTGCCTAAGGTGAATGAAGAAGCAAGGTGATCACAGCCGTGACATATTAAAGCTCATGCAGAAATCAACATATGGCACGCCCGTAAGTACGTGCGGTGACTAAATCACATCTTGCTATCGACATCCCTCGCAATCAGCTGGCCATTCTCAAGGAACGGTTCGTTCATCAAAGTATGAAACATGCTCTTAAGCCAACCACAACAGATCAGCTACATAAGGCCTTGTACATGGTTCGACAAACTGATCTCCACACGCGCATTAATCGCGCTTTGAAACAGAAAATTGTGCACTAAAAATAATCATCCTAATAGCATCTGAAAACAAACTGGCATTGAGCGAGTATGTATCGAATATAAGCGAGCCTGACCCTCTCATATTGTTCCCGCTTTCTTACAAAAACACAACCGCACCGGTGAATTGAGGTTTATCGCTGTCATTTGTCATTGTTTGCACTTATAACTTTACACTACCGAGAAGCAGGATCTAACTATGAGTTACACTAGGGGGCTATGTTTCCGCCAAAGTACTGAGCGAGCAAATGAACTTGGCTGTTTGCCTGAGTAGTGCCCTCCGGGCGCGATAACATAGTGATCTGCCCTGATCCTGGAGCGCTCTGTCTTGGGGCGTGACCGGGTCAGGCCCAGCGGCCGGCCTTGTCGGCCGACCCCCGTGACGCGTTCGACACCACGAGTACGGCAAACCTATATGGAGGCGCGTGCTGCTGCTAGTTCGCGGTTGAACGGACACGAGAGCGGTCTGGAATGTGATCACGTGGGAATCGGGAGTGGGGCTCTGGTGGAACAGTAGTGAACTTAGCGGTTCTACAAGAACGAAGAACGAAGCCGGTTCTACAAGCTTAACAGTCGGATTTACGTGAATGCGATCCTAGTGCTACTCCAGGGACGGTTCGTGTCTGTTGCGGTGTTTAGATCAACAGTTACCGTCGGATCCGGCATAATACTGAATTACAAACCCTGTGTTCAGTTAATGCCGTCGGTGGCAATAAATGTCGCTCGAACCCGAAAAAGCAAGTTGGTATCGAAAGGAGATTAGCAAAAGGCAGGAGTACACAATTACTCTCCTCTGTTAAAGTGATGTTAATGAGATGTCTTATTGAAACCCAAGGAAGTACAGGCATCAGTTCGATGTAGGCCAGCGCCTGAAGACAGCCCACAAACGGGTCCGAAGGTTTTTTAATGTGCTAGTTTCTCTTAACATGTGAAAATGACCGAGAACCACGTAGCTGGGTCGAGTTTGTTAGTTCACATCTTACTTGCGGTACCACTTACTACCTTACTCTTGCTCTCTTCATACGGTACGTCACGACCACGAACAATGGAAGTCCTCCGAACGTGGGGTTGACCATTTTTGTGTTCTTTGCAGGCAATATCCGTTTAGCCAATTTTGAATTTCTCGGAAAGTTTGGGGATAGCCGCGCTGGCCCTCGCGTCCCGCACTCCTGACGCTACAGATGTACACAGCCGCCATAGAGCCACCATGCAGCAGCAAGATCGGATAAACCGGACAGTGATGGGAGACTGGCAATTAAGCAACTTTGGATACTGATTCAACCCCAAGGTAGTAAGTTTTCATATCGAGGATACGTTTCGATGCATGCCGTGGAAAGATGGTCGTGGTCTTTACTACTCGCATTTGTGTTTGAGAAAAGACCATCAATAATCATAATTTAATCTCTACCTGTTGCGCTGAGTTTACTATCTTGCAAAGAAAAGTGAGCCTACTGAAAATTCCTCTTGCCGGTTACGTACCAAAAATTTTGGAGCAGCAGAATTTGGCACCACGGTTGACCCATGGCCTCCTACTAGTTGAAAGCCTCCCCCCCAAAAAAAAGAGAAAGATTCACCGTATTTCAAACACGTTATTTTGTGACGCTAAGATGTTTTGCTTTCATGAACTTAAACGGGAGATAAAACCTATCAGACAATGCAATTTAATGCAACTTGCATATAAGAGTCACTCAAATGAGTGATTCGCGCACTGAATGTCAGCAGCGAATAAGCTACAGGTGTTTTTTGAAGAATGGTCTATTTGGCTTTTTTGAAAACGATAACAGGCTGTGGCGTTGCCAGATTTGGGGATGTACAGAGATATCGACGCTCCGTGATTTTAAGACCAAGGTAGACCCGACCAGATACAAGATAACATTTTTGTGAAAATGATATGAATAACTCGGAGCCTGCACACTCGCAGCCCAGCAGCAAGACGACCGACGCCCGCATTGCAGTCTCCTCTGGCCGTGTGGTTACCACTACGTGTCTGGGGAACCAGAGGTACAGGGTTCGATTCCCCGCGGAGCCCGCCCTTTCTGCCAGGGCGAGAGGCAGGTGACGTCCTATAGCCTCAGTGGCTGAGAGCGTCGTAAAACCCCAATGACGGTGATGAAGGCTGGGCGGCGTCGGTCCCGCAGCTACCACCAAATGGCGGCCAAAGTACGGGCGAAGACGACCACACACTGGAAAGCAGTTCTTCCGAACGCTTTATGAAATCAGTTTCTTTGAGTGGCAGGTATTCCGGGCTGTAGATTTCGCCTGCACAACGTTCAGATTGACACTCAGAACGGCTTAGCATTTATAGTACCGCAAAATCATGACGTGATGGCAGAGTTCCTATTGTTCGTCTCGATGCGATGGCAGAGTTTCTATTGTTCGTCTCGCTGCAACTGCTAATCTGTTCGGAGGATCAGCCTCCAAACCGCACAGATGAAATCTTCCACTTCACACAAGGGATGTTGTATCACCTTTTGCGGTCACGAGCTGAAGAACAATTTTGCCCCATCCCGGGGTCAAAAGTGGCTCTCATTCTGGCAACACGTGGACCGTTTCTCCAGCCTATCAATACGGAGAACCTTACAGGATATATCGTACGCCGGTCCTGGCCCTTACGCGGGAGGCCCTCTGACTAAGGCATTCGGCTCCAGCTCGACGCCAGGGTCCTCAATGACGCGCAATGGTCCCTTGCCTGCGCAGGGTAATATTTAGCACCGATACGCGGGGATGTAGCTCAGTGGTAGAGCGCTCGCTTCGCATGTGAGAGGTAATATTTAGCCTGCGCAGGGTAATATTTAGCACCGATACTCCAGTTCGACTTATCCGGCCTTTGGCTGAAACGGGCTGATTCCCCCGGACCCCGTTGCGGTGATTGACACAGTGCCCCTCCACTGACTCACTGTGGATCTGTTTATTACCATTTCTCACATCTGCTTTCGTTGTCACATCGACACAAGACCCCATCGCCTCAGGAGCCCCAACCAGCCTAAGAGGCCTTCAGACAGACGTTCACGGGCACGGCCTTGTCCCTACTTGGGAAATGGATCCCCTCGTGGGCACGGAACCAACTCCTCAGCATTGGTAGTCTCTGACCGACATAGTAGCCCTCATGGTGCCAGGGACCCCTGAGCAGCACGTGAGGCCCTCTGACTGACATTTCAGGGCTCGGACCTGTGAGCTGCGGTACCTTGATGCGAGGTTCGGCCAGCACTGTGGGTCCTTCAACCGGGGCCCTGATCGTCGCGGCATGTCCCCTTGTGCTCCCTTCCCCGGCTGCGTCTCTATTGGGTCGTGGTGCCCACATGATGCATGACATTTTACTACACCACTTCCTTTTTCAACACTAGCTAGCTGTGGGTATTGACCACTGAAACTGACTGTAGTCGCGCCATGACCAACCGCGATTCTGACCTTGGATGACTGCACTTAAGCATATTCATCGTCGAGTATCATGCGCGGCGATGATTTTTCGGCACTTGAAAAAGCCACATTGGCATTATTTCCGTTCATTGTCAAGGTTTTTTCTGAACTTGAGCTCGAATGCCACTTGTGTTACAAATGACACATCTCAATCATGTTGGCTCATAATATTTATTTATTTAGAGCACAGGTCGTCTGCGGTAAAGCCCAGTTCAGGAATAATTACACTGTTGAATACAGTATATGCCCTATACAAAAACATACAAAGCCCCAAATACATGCACATTAGATGCAGTCATACCTGCACATGGCACGCCTAGACAAAACATTCATCACAGACATGGTCTGCGAGTGTCGCGAACCCGCACAAATTGGGCCGGCATTGTTTTGTTCGCTGGAAGTCATTTAATTTTAACACTGCAAACCCCTGCGACAGCCTCCTGGAAGAGGCCGGTGGGCCGAGAGCGCCAGGGAAATGTATTCGGATCGAATGGGGATGTCAGGCGAACTGTGATCGGTAGCGACGAGCAAGCTTTGCAGTCAAATAGCTGATGATACACACTGCACAGAAACGACGCGTCGGACTAACATCAAAGTGGCAACTGATGCTGTAACAGCAATATGACTAATTTCACAACGGTTTGAAGTTTAGACCTGATGCCACCAAACCTCACATAAGCTTGTGAAAGGTCGGCAAAATCGATGAAGCACATTTGTAATCACTTGACACGTCATGGGGCACTAGACGAACGTGGCGCATACAGGGCTAAATACGTGCCGCGGAGCGCCAATATTCTGCATTTTGGCTGTGCAAAGCCTTAAAATAAGTTCATCAGGGATACACCCTCATTCACGTGAGAGTACATCATTGATTTCATCACACACACCCTCATTGATGTGATAAATGTGGAAGGCATTTTCACAGCATGGTAACGTGTTTGTTTGCTAATGTATCATGTATTCTTTTCTTGAGAAGTGTTTTTGGTTAGCTCATCCGCCAGTAGGGAGAATATCTATTCCTCCATGCACCCAAAAGCGAAGAACGTGACGATTTCGGATCATGTTGGATCCAAGGCTATGTAAACACGGCAGCTCCACATCCAACTAAAAAAACGGCCGCCGGACCGTTGCGCGGTGTGCGCTGGTGGGCGGCGGCCCGACCTACCGTGGCGGTGTGTGGCTGGACGCAGCGCGTTTGACCTGTGCCTCCGACAGACGCGCCCCGACTGGCCGACCCGGACCGGCCAGCAGCCGCCGCAGCCTTCACCAGGGCCGGGTCGGCGCCGGCGCCCGCTGCCGCTCCCGCACGACCAGGCGCCGCGCGGCGGAGAGTCCGCCGCAGCCACCGATCACAGCCGAACGCCCCCGCGTTGGACCCGGCGGGGGCCGCAGAGAGCCCGCTCAGGGCGAGGTCGCAACTGACTGACTCCAGCGGGTCCACGGTCCCCGGTCACAGACACCGTCATACAAGGGGTGTCTCGCACAATGCAATGTCACTTTGGTTCTTCTCTCGAGATAATAATATTATAAGGACCTAGTATGGAACCAGATCTGGACTGCACGAAACACAGGTCGCGTTCTGTCGTCGGGGTTATTAAAACGCTCACACGTTCAACTCAAGAGGCGTTTTTACTCCATGTGGTTCTTCTTTATTCTATGTTTGCAGCACTTCCGATTTCTTAGCATGGGATGCAATTGGCAAGCGTAGAATAACCAAAAGGTGCATGGTGACGAAATGGTTCTTCTTCCGGAGTAAAGTTTTACGGCTGTTCTGATAGGCCAGACAATAGACATTGAGTTTTGCTCGGATATTCCTATTCACGTGCATTCAGATTTGGTGCCGAATTAGCCTTGTATCTAATAACGCTGGCGTGGAAAGCGTTATTGAACATCTTATACAGAAACGTAAGTATAAACGGGCCAAAGGAAAGCGCCATAACTGAACGACTTACGCGGAGTTGGGGCACAAACGGCTTTTGCACACAGTTGAGCATCGCGTACGCTGAACAATCTTCCCCCTGAAATGCCTGGTTGATATACTTCGAGCTCATTTGTGTGAAGTTGTGCTTTATTCCATCTTTCTTTTTGTAGACTCAAACTGTTTAACTCTTGTCCATGAAACTGAATCCTTTTGACGTATCATTACTCCCTGCAAATACTTCTTGCATTAAGCCCAGATTTCCACAAGTCTCAACGGCCTCGAGGTCGTCGAGGCTGTCAGATTTGTCTTTCTGGCGTTGCAGTCACGCCATGCCCTTTCTTTTCTCCGCTGAGAAGAACCTCGTTTTATCTCTGACAAGCTCCTTCTTTTTATGAGCCAAACATTTAAAAAAAAGATTAATTGTTACCTTTTGACTATGCATTTTGGGGGATCAGCGTACACACTAAGCAATGTTTCTTGTGTAATCATGGTCACGCCATCTGATATGAAATTCCGGGTCAGAGATAGAATTTTGTGGCGAAAGCTGAGCGTGCTGCAAAGGTCGGCAATATCAGTCTTGCCCTTTGACGACGCCTGACCTCTGGCGCCGCCGCTGGCACCGGCCGCAGAGATATGTGGAGTGCAATAGTGCTGCCATCTGGAAAAGGGTGACTTGAGCGCCTCTGCCATCTGTCGGGTGGGACAAGCCAAACGATACTTTGGAGGGAGCTTGGCGGTTGATTTTTCTCTAACTTCCATCTGATCTTATCAGAGACCATTGTGTAATAAAATGGGCAGTAATAGGACTGCTTATTCGGCTCAAATGGATACAACATTTCTCTATGCCTGTTTTTCACCTTCGAGCACTCAAAACTCCAGTGACCATAGGTATCCCGTTGAACCTCACACACAAAATTTCAAACGGAACATATCACAGCACATTTTTGCTTGCAAATCTCCCTGAGCCCATAAGCTCAGACAGATAAATATATGTGCAGACACAACTTACCGTAACAGAGCACTGTATCTTCGAAACATTCTACCTAACTTCCTTCAGCAGTTCTTGGCATCGCATT